AAATTGATAGTTTTCAGGGTATTCCGCAGGGAAGTGTATTAGGGTTATTATTACTTTCAATGTATATCGATAATATTGTACAGATTGCTGGGAATTGTAACAATCATCTATTTCTCCTCATGTAACCTACGCCAAGTAGTTGGCGTAGGCTACATGTTGGCTAAACTTGTACAAGTGCAGAGATGGGGTAGTATCAACTGTTTGAAATAATATACAGTTACCAGTTTCACCAATATCAAACAAGAAATACAAATACTTCTCGTATGCCACAGATATTAAAGAACTGCTCTTAAAATTCGATATTTTAGAGGAGTTGATGCTTTCAATAAATTACCTAAATCCATTCAGGATACCACATCTCTCTCTTCATTCAAAAACACTTTGAAATATCGTATGTTGAAGTGACCTCTATTTAGCTGTGCTAAGTAAAGGATTGATATTTATAGTCCAGCTATATTGACTTCTTGTATTCAATTATTTCAAAAAAATTACAGAAATAAGAACCAATACCTGAAGTACTGACATTAACACATTAGGTATGTTTGAAAGTGGCTGATAATATTTCATGGTAATTTTATTAGTTCGGACTTCAATTGTCTAATATGATTCTTCTACGATTCGAAATTTATGAAGGAACAAATAACATTGGAATGAATTTAGGAATACAGAATTAGACCACCTTTCTAAAGCACATCAACAGCGTAAGACCTTCCATCACCTTCATAGTGGAACTACGAATTGCCATTCTTAGACTTATTGATGAAGAGGACCGACACTGAGTGGGAAACATCTGTATACCGAAAACCCACTCACACGGGAAATATCTGAATAACGAATCAAACCACCATCAATCTACCAGAAAAGGAATCATCAAACTCTGGTGGATTGTGCTTTCGGTCCCTGTATTACGAAGGAAGGTCTCGAGAAGGAACTAGGCATCATCAAAACGGAATGGCTACTCCAAAGTGATCATGGAACAGACTTTGGCTAGAAGACAGCGAGAGTTTTGCAAGGAAGAGAAGGCGTCAAAACAAGTGATTGTACTTCCCTACGTCAGAACATTATGAAAGAATAAGAAGAATAGGGTCCAAGTACAACATCAGAACCTGCTTCAAATCTGAAAGTACCATCCGTAGCAGCCTCGCCAAAAACCAGGCCACCAAACACCATTTACCGGATACCCTGTGAGTGCGGCAAATCCTATATCGGTGAAACTGAGACACCATTGAAAATCCGCACAAGAAAAACACACAGCGAGAAGAAACCAGAAAATCGGTAATAGTAGAGCATGTTTGGACTCATCCGCATAACATCAAGTGGTCCCATGCTGAGATCATTCACAAGGGGAACACGAATTCAAGAGGAAGTTCAAAGAAGCTGCATAAATGTTTCCAAGGACGCACTCAATCAAGCTAGCGTAGAGATACGCAACATATGAAAACCTGTAATCAAACGGGTAATGGTATCAAGTGCTCTATCTCTCTCTTTCAGGACTACTACTCGGACGTGATTGCCAACGATTCCATAGCGTTCCTAAGACATTCTAAGAAGCAATATCAGCATAAACCAGTGATGCTGACCATGTCCTTCCCAGCGCCACATGGACCTGAAGATTCTGCACCGCAATATTCGCATATGTTTTTCAATGTTACCACCCATCAGTAAGTTATTTTTGCTATATTCATATTTTTAATGATATTTTTATTGAATGTGTGAACAGTAGTCATGGTTTGTAGAGGACTCCATACTTACTTATACTCAGGTTTGTTCTTTGAGTACATTTGAGTCCAGTAGAACGATGCTAGGCATTCGCGACTCAGCCTAGTATCACTGATGACCATAGCAGGTCGAAAGAGCGCTGTATTGTGTTGAATCACGGATGCTTTCATTTTCAGGCTCTAGTTTTATTGACATTTCTACTGTTGGTATCAGATTACACAAGAAATGAGTATACTCTTGTATTTTTCAAAATAGTTTTTTATCAGTTATGCTCCCTTTTTTATTCGACTCGGAAATATTTTTCTGAGGTTATTATTTCAAGCACCACGAGATTAATGAATATGGGATTTTGTCCATCTCATCGCCACACGTCAAAAGAGCGGTCTAAAATTTTGTATTGTTCTATTTCACAACTATGATCGATAGCCCAAATAATCGAAATAGCTCCACCTTGTAAGCTTTGTTTACTATTGAACACATTCGGGATTCAGATTTCGAATTCATGAAATGCATTATTATTTATGGTTTCTATCCATTTGAAATGCAGAATATGGATTGGAACAGCCGGTCGATCTTCCAGTTAAATTTATTCAAAAATAGCGAAGTTGGGATGGAACGAAATAGGATTTTCACATTATTCCTCATTCATGATGAGGAGATAATTTATTCAAGAACATATTCAATAAAGATGACGTTTTAACGGAGGAGAGGTCTAAGCTTTGGGTCAAAGCAATGAGAAATTAATTGAGAATGAATTTTACCCAGCGACACGACATCTAGAACAATCGCGAAACGCAAGTCGAGTTGAACACAACCTTAGTCTAGTCAGTATATATTGGTTGAAAACGCTACCAAATCACTTCCAGAATAACAGAACTACATATTTGTATGGAAGTGGTTGACAATATTTCTTGTGAATCAATCATTGGAGGAAAAATTCGGCGATTCCGTATAATTTTACCAAACAGCAACGATTTGCACAAAAATTTGGATTTAAGTTGTGCTCACCCTCTATTTCAAAGTTGACCCTATACCGGGGGTTGCTTTTACCCAGGGGGTAAACCCAATACGCACGGAATAATAGCTTGTTGATGGTCGGTTCTTATTGGTTAAGAAACAAAATTGAAAATTTTAACGTGAAGCAGCAAAAAAGCAACGCATTTTTCTGGGGAAACTCATGAAACCTTTTTTAAAGTGATCAAAAACATCCTTCATTTTCATCATTAATGAAAAGTCACTAGCATCAAAACTAAGTAAAGTTAGGTATGATAAAAATAATGTTGGTCCCAATTTTTTTTTCTACGAAAAAATGTGAAAATCACCCTTTAATCGCCATTCCAATCGAAAGTAATCTTTGCCACTTTATACATCACTTCATTCACAAACTTATATGAAGAGAAGTCAATTGAACAGAACATTTTTATATATGTCATGAAATTGGCGGATACTTGATGAAAATCCGTAACTGGATAGTTTACAAAACCCCAACAGGTGTTTTGTTATATAAAAACTTCCCCAAGCGTTATTACACTCTCCATGCTTTCATGCATGAACACGCTTGAAAAAGCTATTGTATAGCAAAACACGTGTTGCGGTTTTGTAAACTGTCCAGTTCAAATCTCACAATGAAGTGTTTACGCTTCTCTATCATCAAACAGAAACTGTTGGAAGCTTCCAAAGAAAGAAAGAAAGTAGTTTTTCCCTATCTTTCTTTCTTTGTGAGCTTCCCACATTTTTGTTCACTGATGCAGAAGTAAACAGCTGAAAGCTTTTTTTCCAAAAGTACAAAATTGATTTTTTCGCAAGTACGTAAATGAAGTACTTACTGCAACTGAGGAAGAGTCCCATCTTCGTCCAGAGCTAGATCGCCTTGATAGCCCTTTTGGTTATTTAATTCAGGTTCGATGGTGTTTTCCAGCGAATTCAGATGAATTTTGCCACTTAAATTGCCTTTTCTGAATCTATGCTGATTCTTATCTTACCGACAATTTTGTTCATTCACATTACCATCCAGCATAAAAGAACATTCACCGCCGAAAAAAATACTTTTTAATAACCTTCAGTGCGAATTTTTTTGCTACTTTTTTACAAAAGCGAAAATAATATTCAATTTATTTTCAACACCCCGAACAATTATTATTCGTACCATCGAATAGCTTCTTTCGTAAGCTTTTCAAAGATGTATCACACGTAGAGGTTTGCTATTTAATTATTTTGGCATTTGGGATGGGTGAGGCCAAGGAGGTTGATGGGGGCGAGTTCTTTATTGCCCTTTATTTTACCCTTTCTATCCTAGAGACGGTGTTTGTGATGTCTAGCACATTGAGATTTTGTGATTTTCATTAATTTCAAACCATTTGGCATATGTATAAATTCTAAGGCAAACTTCATAATTATATCTTTATTTTGTTGTTGAGAGGCACAAAAGTTAGAAGTGTTTTGCATGTTCGGCTATTTTCTGCAATAGAAAAAAAAGGATCAAAGAATTTGCCTCAAATTTTGTGTAAAAAAAGGGATTAAGTGCTCAAAATCACTTAAAATGTTGACAGGGACATACAGTTATTGTACTCTGAGTCAGAAACATGTTTACAAGTGGTGCAAGCTTTTCACAGAAGGTCGAGAAGATGTGAATAACGTCACTCACCCTGGACACCCCAGCACATCAACAACCGATGAAAATGTTAAGAAAATGAAGAAAATTGTTATGGAGTCACTATTATAGAAGTTGCCGAAGGTATCGGCATATCGGTCATGCCATCCAATTTTTTTGGAAATTTTGGGCATAGTGTGTGGCAGCAAATTTTGTTCCAAAAGGAGGAGTATTTTCTTGAAGTTATGCGCCGCTTGCGAGAAGTAATACGAAGAAAACGTCCGGTATTGTGGTTAATCAATGCATGACTTTTGTATCACGCTAATCCACCTGCTCACTTGTAATAGCTTGTCGTAATTTTTTGGCCAAAAACAACACCGTAATCATGCCTCAGCCACCGTATTCACCAGATTCACCCCCCTGTGACTTTTTCTTGTTCCCATGAAAGGACAGCATTTTGCGACGATTTAGGAGATGAAAAACGAATCGCTGAGAGAGATCAAGGACATACCAGAAAGTGCATGACAAAACTTCTTCGAGGATTGCAAAAAACGCTGGTATTTGAGGGAGACTTCTTTGAAAGAGACAAAATAGAAATTGATGAATGAATAAACATTTTTTGAGATGAATTTAAGTTCACGTAATTTTTGGAACTGGCAGCGTATAACATGAATTGGATTTGACCTCCCTACATTCTACAGTTTTCAGTTGTTTTCCTGCTTAACTCAGTTTAAATGTAAGTTTATAATCACATTTTCGGAAAACTTCTCTCTTCGTGGCAAGTCAATATCAGACAGAAAAGAAATGAGGCGTACGCAAAATCAGTGAGAAAGTGTAAGGGTAGTTTTCCGGAGGATGACACCAAATTTGTCGGAATAAAAAGAGTATCTCCCAGCTGGTTCTCTTTACGTGAGAAAAGAAAATCTATGAATACAGTAAAGAAACATGTCACAAATCCAACCAGCTAAATAGGGGGTGGCGGGCAAATCTGTTTGTGTATATCCGAGGCCGGACCTGTCTGTCGGACATATACTTTGTTCATATTCGCAATAGGGCCCCTTAGGATGAGGCCATCAGGACACCTCTCCTGGCAGGGGTATTCTACGAGGGTGGTCCAAGAAGTACCCAGCCTGAATTAGAAATGGCGATAGTCGTTTGAAAGATATATCACTGTATTAGAAAGTACACAATACATAAAGCATATGTTTCAAGTTTGAAGACGCTGCGTTGTTTAGTATTTGTTTGGCTGTCATCAATAGCAAGAGAAAATTGGTCATCGTTATGTGGTATAGTCGAAGCAACCGATATAGTAATCTTAAAGCTATCGGCAAACTCAAAAGCCAAAAAAACCAATACATAGAATTAATGCCGCTACGAATTAATCCACGTAGACTGAAGAGTCATAAAATTAAATTTGAATTCATGTAACGGTGACCAATAGAATGTGAGGATGGTTAGAAGAGTCGTGTTGTCAATGTTCAGTTCAGGAACTGATCGCGATTTGAGTGTTGAAATTCGATATTGGTGAAGTTATAATTACCTAAAATTTTTGTTATTTGTTTAAAATGTG